ACCCACTGTGAAAGATCTCAAGCACTGCTGAGATGAAGGAAGTTCCATGTGAAATGCCAGCTACCACCATGCTCCTTGCTGAAGGGAGCTGCCCTACCAGTTTAGACCAATGGCCCATCTAATCCAGCACCCTGTCTCAACAGCAGCCATGAGCCAAGCACACAGAGTGGATTTCATCTACAGATGAGGCCAATACTGACTGCTCTGTAGAAAAATGCATCCAGCCTCTTTGGGTATTGGGCATGTTTGACAGTCAGGAAAGCTGACTTTGACAAGCTCAGGAGGCTTGTTGGCAAGGCCCTAAGGGACCATGACTTGACGGGGAGGGGAGTTCAGGATGAGTGGTTGCTCCTCAAGGGAGCGATCCTGAAAACACAAGCGATGCCCATCCTATCTCGGAGGAAAGGCAGCAAAAGGGCGCAGCAGCCCCCTTGGCTCTGCAGGGAACTAGTGGACCTCCTGCGTCTAAAAAGAGAGACCAATAAAAGATGGAAGTCTGGAATCACTCCAAAGAAGAAGAATTCTGCACTGGTCCTGTAGGGAACAAACCAGGAAAGCCAAGGCTGCAACTGAATTCCAACTGGCTACACGTATCAAGGACAATAAAAAGTCCTTTTTTAGATATGTGGGGAGTTGGAAGAAAAACAAGGGTAACATTGGACCCCTGCTAAACCAAATGGGACAACTGACAACCAACACCCAGGAAAAAGCCAACCTGCTTAATGGGTATGTTGCATCGGTTTTTCACCAGCCCAAAGGGACCGCCCTGCTTAACATGCTGCAGGATGGCCAGGGTGAGGGTAAATGTATACCCTACATTGCTGTAGGACATGTAAATGAACAGCTTGGGAGGCTGGACACCTTCAAGTCAGCTGGTCCGGACAGTTTGCACCCCAGGGTACTTAAGGAGCCGGGAGGCATCATAGCTCAGCCACTGGCATGGATCTTCAAGAACTTGTGGCGCTCAGGCAAAGTGCCCAAAGATTGGAAGAAGCACCAGTGTGGTGCCTTATCTTCAAGAAAGGGAGGAAAGTAGGTCTGGGGAACTACAGGCCTATCAGCCTGACCTCTATCCCTGGGAAGATCTTGGAAATAATTATCAAAGAGACCATTCTTGACAAGCTGGCTGATGGCAACATCCTGAGGCATAGCCGGTACGGGTTTGTTACGGGTAGGTCTTGCCTGACCAATCTCATCTCCTTCTATGACCAGGTAACATATCACTTGAACAAGGGAGAAGAGATTGACGTCATATATCTGGACTTCAAAAAAGCCTTTGATCTGGTGTCCCATGATCTCCCTCATGGAAAAATTGGCCAACTGTGTCCTCGGCTACATCACAGTCTGATAGCGGGGAGTTGGCTCCGAGGTCGGACCCAGAGAGTAGCAGTCAATGCAACTAAATAATTTCATAGACATTCAGACATTTGGGCTGGAAGGGACCTCGGAACATCATCGAGTCCAGCCCCACACATAATCATGGCACTCAGTGACCAGTGGTGTCCTGCAAGGCTCCATCCTTGGACCGATACTCTTTAATATCTTTATTAACAATGTAGACCTTGGTGCTAGAAGTGGACTGGCCAAGTTTGCTGATGACTCCAAACTTTGGGGTAAAGTGTCCACACCTGAGGTAGACTGATGTTCCAGGCCAACCTTTACAGGCTCAGAAAATGGGCAGATAAAAACCTGATGACATTCAATACCGAAAAAATGCTAGGTACTCCACCTCGGGGGAAAAAAGCCTGCATCACGCTTATAGGCTCGGCAGTGCGACTATGGCCGAAAGGGACTTGGGGGTCATGACTGAACAGAAGATGAACATGAGCCACCAATGAAATGTTGCAGCTGGTAAAGTGAGCAAAACTTTGGCTTGCATCCATAGATGCTTCTCAAGCAAATCTCAGGATGCCATCCTCCCGCTGTATGCAGCCTTGGTTAGGCCACAGCTGGAATACTGCATCCAATTCTGGGCTCCACAATTTTAAAAGGATGTGGAAAAGCTTGAGAGAGTCCAAAGGAGAGCCACACACATGATCAGAGAACAGGAGAACAGGCCTTATGGAAATGCATAGGCTCAGGGGAGACTTAGTGACTGCCTATAAGTACATTGGGGTGTGCATCAGGATCTGGGGGAATGCCTGGTCACCAGAGCACCCCAAGGGATGACAAGGTCAAACGGTCACAAACTCCTCCAAGACCATTTTAGGCTGGACAAAAGGAGAAAACTTCTTTACTGTCTGAGCCCCCAAGGCCTGGAATAGACTTCCTCCAGAGGTGGTGCAAGCACCTACTCCGGACTTTTTAAAGAAACATTGGACATTTATCTTGCTGGGATCCTTTGACCCTAGCTGACTTCCTGCCCCTGGGGCGGGGGGCTGGACTCAATGATCTTCCGAGGTCCATTCCAGCCCTGATGTCTATGAAATCTATGACAGAGCCTTCCACAGGGATTATAAAAGTGCCTGCAGGAGAAACTACCCATCCCATCCCAAGGGATCACATTCTCTTTGAAACCTGCTGCTCTGACTGAAACCCTCCCTTTCCCTGATCCGAACAATTCTATCATTTGTGCTGTCAGTCACGGGGTTTGTCATTTCAGTCTATGTGGAATAGCACCACTTTATGTCTTCCATTCCACTTCACACATTATGAACCTTGGCAGACAGAAGGTTGTGGTAGGTAATAAATACAAGCAGCAAAGCAACCAACCAGAGATGGCAACAGAAAAAGCACTTGCCCTTTGATTGAATAGTATCTATCTGTATTCTAGCTTTCAGTCCAGCCTGTAGCCCTCTGGTGCCTTCCCAGAGACCAAACAAAATCCTACAAACAGAAATGGAAGCTTCTTGGATATACGGAACGTTCTTGGACAGTTACGTGCTAAGAGCTCAGGGTACCGTGGAAACAGGCTTTCATTACTGTGAATCTGCAGGAGCAAATGGGCTCACAGAATGAATCTGGTGTCCTTGCAGGCACTTTGGGAAGTAACAGATGCTAACAAAGAAGGCAGGGAAATTTTAATCTTGTTTCAATCACTTCTGCCCAGGGCTCTGAGTCCCTTCTTTAAAACGGTGATAATTTGGTGTCACTTTAGGCTGCAGCCATGGGGCTTCCCCCACACATTTATCTAGCACAATGTGCCTGGTAGAGCTCAGTGAACTACAGAATAATAAAATGGAAGGGACACAAGAAAGTGAGAGTTTAATAGAACCGGGCCTAACCTCCGAGATAGCACCAATGCCAACAAAGGCACATCCCTGCTTTGCTCTCCTGCCCCCCCTCCACCCACTAAGGCTCTGTTCCCTTGTTTCTTTTCCACCCTCCTCCCCTCATCCATGAGCTCAGCCTTCTCTCTTCTCATTTCCGCTGGAAAATGACAGCACAGTAATTTTGAAGAGCCTTCTTGTTCTAAGGCAGTTGACGGCAAGACCTCAGGACGTGATTTCCGCCCGCCTTTGTGCAGGGTTAAGTGAGTGCCGAGGCAAAGCCTGCATAAACACGCTCAGGCAGAAGCGAGAAAGGTCAACCCAGCTTCCCCCATCTCTAGCAATCAGCGTGTGTGCGTGTGTGTGCCTCAATGTGATATCACCCTGCCCTGCAGTTATAATTAACCCCTAAAGAACCCCAATTTGGTGACGAGCTGTATCTGGCTCCACAGGGCAGTGCGGAAACGGATCACCACGTAAAGCCCACACTCCATCTTCTGAAGGGAATGAGATCTTTATTTTTCCAGCTCCCCCCAGCTAAGCAAGTGGGTGGGGGATGGGAGGAGGGTTAGATGGCAGCTATGGATCTATGGCAAGGCATGAATAATGTAAGCCTCCCTAGGCACAGATGGAGAACTTCAGCACAAGTGTCAGTGACCCCCTTCAAATGGGCACCTCCCAGTTCTCATTCAGCAAGTCACACATGGGTTACTTGGCACAAATCAGGACTCCGTGTCAGAGAACACCTTCCACAAGGTAGGCAAGATGCTCTGGTGGTAAAAAGCAAAGGGGCCAGTGTTCAGGAGCTCTGTGTTCAAATCCTGGCTCTGTTTCCTGTGAGACTTTGGGTGAGTGCCTCAGTCTGCCCGTGCTTCTTATCTTCACCTGTACAGTGGGCCTAATGCTTTCCCACATTACAGGGTCACAGGTACAGTCAGTAGAACGTGTGATATACTCCGCAGAACAGCCCACACAGACAACTTAGGGAGCACAATTAACACCTTCGTCTACGCCTCTAGTGAGATTGCTCATAGACCCAGCTTCTGCACGTGCAGTAACTCAGACTCAAAACCAGAAGTCAACATTTGTGAAACTGCTCTGGAGCCTTTAACCCTAAAATGCCCTGCAGTCATCACCTCTCTACAGTCAGAACGTCAATGAAAGCCCTGTTTGGAGATAGGGGGAGAATAGAAGCAGGGGGAGTTGGAACCAAGAGGAAAATGTTGAATGTAAATACATGAACCGGTTCATTTTAAAAGGGATGAGTTTGACACCCAAACTGAACCAAGAAGGGCTGGGAGCACAGCACAGACAGCGGGCTTGCTCCCTGCCTCAGCAGGGACTCAAAGCAAAGTAAATGTAGTATATTCAGCCTTGTATCAGACGCACCCAGGAGCTAGCAGAAGCAGTCTGTTTAGCCACCAGGGAAAACAGCTTGCTTTGCAGGCCAGTATCCCCTGGAGTGTGTCACAGATACTCACGCTGACTAGAAAGTATGTCAAAAAACTACCTAGCCACCAGATTCAGATGGAACTAACTGATCATCTAGCTGAATAACAGTGCTTTGTTTTTGTATGTCATCAACACCCTTGGTGCTCAAACAAAGGTACTCTAGTAAAGTGAATGCTCTCACAGCCCCTAAACATGTCTCATTTTAAATGAAATAATGGTCCAAACACTAACAACCCAGCACTGCAATATACATGTTGAAGCACCCAGCCCAGAACCACTCAGACATGTCTAGGAAACATTCCCACCATCTCAGTCACGCAAAGAGTTTAAACATCATACCTGTCACAGTCACCAGCATGGAGGCCACCAGGGGACGGTTGTTGTCCAGCTTTCGGCTCAGCCTCAGCTCACCGCTTGACTGATTTACAATCAACAAGTGCAGTTCATTTCCCCGTTCAAAGGTGTAGAAAAGCCTGTCAGACACATCTGGATCATAGGCAGGGATCTTCCCTATCACACCAGAAGGGAAGGTGTTGGACTTGTTGGAGACATAGTTATTGAAGAGTATCTGGAAATTCTTAAGGACAGGACTATTGTCATTTTGGTCAATGAGTTTGATGTGGACCATGGCTCTGCTGACCAAAGGAGCTGATGTGGCCTGGACCACAATTACATACTCAGGCTTTGTCTCGTAATCCAGGTCAATCAAGGCAGTGAGCTCCCCAGAAAAGATGTCCATCTGGAAGATCTCGGGGATGTTGCCTTCCACAATCTGATACATAATCTGGGCATTGGGCCCTTCATCTGGGTCAACAGCTGTGATCTGGGCTACTACAGAGCCTACAATGCTGTTCTCCTTCACCAAGACTTCAAATTCTTCAGCTGGGAAAACAGGAGCATTGTCATTCACATCCTGAACAGTGACTTGTATGTGAACTGGGGTTCTCTGAGGAGGCACCCCCCTGTCCACAGCATAGGCAGTCAACTCATAGACAGGAACGCTCTCCCGGTCCAGCCTGCGGACGGTGCGGATAATCCCAGAGGTGGGCTCTATGGTGAAATCCCCATCTCCATCCTCACCATTCTGGAAGGTGTATTGTACCCGCCCGTTGGTATGAGCATCCCGGTCAGTGGCAGAGATCTGGAGCACGCTGGTGAATGGCGTGGCATCCTCAGAGATGATGCCTTGATAGTGAGCACTGACAAACTGGGGGGCATTATCATTTACATCATTCACCATGATTTCTACATAGGTGGTGTCCGCTTTCTGAGGAATGCCATTATCCTTGGCAGTGATGGCCAAAGTGTAGGTCACCTGGTCTTCGTAGTCCAGCTCCGCCTGCAAGGTGATGGCCCCCGAGTCTGGATCAATGCGAAATTGAGGAATGTTGTCCTCTAGGTAATAAGTGATCCTGGCATTTTCCCCCACATCATCATCAGTAGCACTGATCACTACTACTGTGCTGCCCACTGGACGGTCCTCATTGACACTCACCGAATAGTGGGCACTCTGGAACACTGGCCGATGGGTGTTGGCATCTGTGATGTTGATATGGACGTGGCAGATGTCATGCAGGGTCCGGTCAGAGGCAGTCACCGCAAGCACATAGCTCCTGTCCTGCTTATAGTCCAGGGGCAGAGAGAGGGTGATCAGTCCCACACCGCCCTGAGTGCTGATGGAGAAGCGGTTGCGTGGGTTCCCCCCAGTTATCTGGTAGCTGATGGCACTGTTCACATCCCGGTCGATTGCAGTGACGCTGAGAACACTGGTCCCCACCGCGGCATCTTCATTCAGACGGATGAAATACTCCTTCTGGGTGAACTCAGGGCGATTGTCATTCACGTCCATGACTGTGATGGTGACACTGGCAGAGGCAGATAAGGATGGAGAACCGTGGTCCCGAGCCTCCACCCCAAAAAAGTAATGTTCCACTGACTCTCGGTCCAGCGGGCCACTCACTGTGATCCATCCAGTGGCGCTGTTCACCACAAAGGGGGTATCGGCTGAGACCCCCGTCAGTTTGTATTCCAGGCGAGAGTTTTCCCCATAATCTGCGTCCACTGCCTGGATGTGGATCACAGAATGGCCCAGGGGGGCATTTTCCAGCACAGAGATTTGAAATGGGGTGCTGACAAAGATTGGGGCATGGTCATTAATGTCCACCACTTGGATGCTGACCATGCCTGTGTTGTTAGACAAGGGAGGGCGCCCTGCATCCTGGGCACGGATCCTCAGGGCGTACTCGCGTTCCACCTCGAAATCCAGAGGCGCCACCACCTGTATTTCCCCGGTCACGCTGTCAATGGAGAACTGGCCCCTGCTATTGCCACTGATGATGTTGTAGTGAACCAGCGCATTGTTGTCCTTGTCCAAGTCAGTGGCCGTCACTCTCAGGATCTCTGTGTGGGGCCGTACGTCCTCCCGCACCTGGACAATGTAGCGCTTCTCGCTGAACTGCGGGACATTGTCGTTCTCATCCAGGACGGTGATGTAGACCTTCACCGTGGCTGACCGGGGGCCAGGCTCCTTCCCCTGGTCGCTGGCCTCCACCACCAGCGCGTACTTCTCCATCATCTCCCTGTCCACCGGGCCGCTGGTGGTGATGAGCCCCGAGCGGGGGTCGATCTCGAAGACAGCATGGGCGGCGCGCTCGTCCACGAAGCGGTAGCGGATGTTGGCGTTGGGCGGCGAGTCAGCGTCTGTGGCCCGCAGCTGCAGGATAGGGTAGCCCTCCTCCACGTTCTCCCGGATGGTCTCGCGGTACTCGCCCTGCTCGAACACGGGGTCGTGGTCGTTGCGGTCCGCCACCGCC